TCCACTTTGACAATTGTTCCTATTTATTCTGAAAAACAGCATGTGCTATGGAAAAAAAAATGTAATCCAAGTGTTTATATTGAACTTCAACGGGCCAATTGTAGTGAGATGGGTTTGTCCAGGCTTGGGACTGGAGATGTGCAGCATGACAGGAAATGTAACCATTGACCTACATAAAAAGCTAAATTATGCAGGAGTAAGTAAGGCTGAAACAAATGAAAAAGTTCAGAAAATTGTATAATTTACACATGAGAACACATGTCACTGGTACTCTTGAATTTATGATCAAATTTATGCTGACTACACCAGTAGACCATCAAAGACTGACTCCTGACTACTGTAATCGGGGTATTACTCCTCTATGGGAAAGGTTCTTGTGGCTGCTTTCACAGAGAGCAGTGGGTCGAAGACAGACCACCAGTTCTGTGTGAGCTCAAATCCAGGGTTAATATGTTTCACTTTTCTACATGATCTTGTCCATGTCTTGGCTCTCCTCTTGCCTTGATGTGCTGTAAACAGGCTAAAAAGGGCCCAGCTGTGGAGTTATTGTTGGTGTCAGTAGGAAGTGCTGATAGCTTTTGCAGCGGAACAAAAGCTGGATGAGGGGAGTGGAGGGGCGCTCCAGACACTGTGGCTCCAGCCTAGATTCTCTCCCACAATCCCAGCACCGCACTCCCATTGTTCTGCCCACTAGCCCTCCCTCTCTCCTCCCCCCGGCCGTCAGCTGCGACCTAGGACAGGGCAGGGGGAGGGGGGAGATTAGAAGAAAAAGTGAAAGAAACAACTTTTACAGTCTCCTACATGATTGAGAAGAAACAGTGGTTGTTAAAATTTGTGACACAGTTTTCCTGATCTATTTGCACATAGGAAATAAAACACACACAGAGACTCTTGCATCTTTGCAGGGTATCATGACAACTTTAAGAATCTAATATGTATGCATATTTTTGAGTAGACTACTGAAAAAAATATGTAGGTCTAAATTAAATTGTCAAAGCAAGATGACACGGACTTAAAGACTGAAGACACATCTGACAGTAGCTTATATCTTTCAGATACTTATTTGCATTTGTTGACATTTTGTAAGCTAAATAAAAATAAATAAATGAATAAAACCGTTTTGTAATTAGCAGCAATATCAAGAAGTCGTTATTTCCAGAGTAACAATCCGGTGTGATTGTGTTGAAGACTGCTACTTGTAAGGTGACTGCGAGGACATCTGTAACAGAGGCTTTGTAGAGGAATGCGCCGTTATTGCAGTTAAAAAGCACCTACTGTGTGTGTGCGTGTGCGCGCGCGCCCGTGCGCTGTGCAGGTGCGCGGGGCTCGCTCCCAGGACTGGGCCCGCGTGCAGGTGAATGGGGAAAGGGTGTTTGACGTCTCCATGGAGACCGCCCGAGCGGCGCCAGGCTGACAGGCGTCAAGGCTCGGATGAATGGGTGACGTCACCGCGCTGGCGCCTGCCAGTCTGCTCAAGCTTGTTTGGACAATCTGGGGGGAAGACTCAGAGCAGAGCGCTGTGATGAGAGCACACAAGGCTGAGCACACACTGCAAAACATGTGAAGGAATCTGTGAAGCAGAGAGACGACTAAAAAGAACACATTTGCAGTTGTGGACTTAGCCGTCTACTAAGTTAAATGTGAACTTTATTCAAAAGTAGGCTAGCTGTATTTCTTTTCTTTCCAAACAAAAACTTCACAAGTTGGACAAATCATTTCTTTTTCTCCGTATTTTTATGCATTGTCCAGCAAAACCGATCGCTGTTATGTGTAAACAAAAAATAATGTTTAGATAGTCGTATTTGATACCAGTTTAAATCCAACATTCCCATATGTGCATAACCAATTTTTGTATGTTTGAAACATACAATATTCAGTTGATCGAAAATGACGTGCAATTGCACAGGAAAGCAATGCACAAAATGAGATCAAGTGGTTGCTTATTTTAACCATCTTATTTAGGCTACACCATTACATCTATCTTATTGTAGTCATGCACATCTGCAGTTTCACTAGCTCCGGTGAGGGGAAATCTAGGGCACTGTTGTAGCCTAATTATCATCAGCCATTCATTCTATTCATGCCTTCCCACCCCACACACATTCTCCAGTCCATAGGCAGGCATTCAGCACCCCTCCACTGTCCCCAGGCCATCTACACCTGCAGAGTCCCCAAGCCACGGACAGCTGGATTCCCACATATTACCCATAAAAGACACACATTTGTTTCCATTTGTAACGCCATCTCTAAAACAGATTGTAAATCTCGATAACCAGGCGAGGGTGGCGATTGGCTAGTAGCGTTTTTGTGGACCTGCCCACCAATACAGGCTTAAACATCTCATTGGTCCAACTTCTTCAAACAGGACAGTTTTGACACGCCCACGCCACCGTACTGCCATAAAAGAAGCAGCTACCCATGTGGACTTCACGAACTGTCAACATTGCCTAAGCTGCCTACTAGAAAAGAGAACTATCTGCACTCTTCTCTTCTTGGAAACTAAATCAATTAACAAACCATCATGAAGGTTGTTGGATCTACATGTGCCCTGAAGACCAAGGTTGGCGGTGAAGATGTGGTGCGCTGCCTCTCTGACCAAAGCCTGACCATCTCCAAATGCAAGATCCCACTGCTGGACGAGCAAATGAGCATGTTTCTTCAAGACATGAACAGCTGTTACAGCAAACTAAAGGAGCTGGTACCCACGCTGCCCACCAACAAGAAGGCAAGCAAAGTGGAGATCCTCCAACACGTCATTGATTACATCTGGGACCTTCAGGTTGAGCTGGACGAGCCCGAGAAGAGCCGTCAGCACTCCGGGAGCAGCGTACCACGCACGCCTCTCACAACTCTGAACGCAGAGCTGGCCAGCATCTCTGTAGAGGTAAATGTCAAATGTATGTATGCGTAGAAGCTGTGCGTAATACAGTTTATTTTATTTTATTTTAGACGTGATGTGGTAAAGTGCAGTTGTAATAATATTTGTAATGTTTGTTCACAGAATGGATGCTCAGATGACAGAATCATGTGCCGCTAAACGAGGAGCATTGCCCCACCACCCCCCACAGCGAGCACCGCGAAGGAGAACAAACAAGGCTGAAGATGTGAGCGCTCACTTCAGCGCGCACTTGGGACTGTGTAGGGACGTTTCCAACTCCCAAAAAGCTAGTGTTAAAAGTTCTGTGTGTGTGGACATTTTTATGTTGGACTCTCGATTGTTCCGAGGGTTCCCAGAACACCACCACAAAAGAGATGAAGACGTAGATGGACCAGTACTGTCCAAATAGACTGGGTTAGCCCGGGGACCAAATCAGATCAGTGCAACCAGCGACGTCAGTTTGGCTTGTTAGTTTGAAAGAAAGCTAATGTTTCTGTTACGCTCTTGTATCACATGTAAAACCTATAGAGAAGTTTTGTAAAAGAATTTAGTACATTTTCTCAGAATTCTGAGTGACGAACTGTATTGTATATTACAATGCTATTATGTGAACATATTGTTTTCTTACAATGTACCTATTGGTGTTTTTATTAAAACAAGACAATTATTTTTTAACATGACTACGTGTGTCACATGTCTTTCTCTAACGTAGCATACATCAGTACGTAGATTTTTACTTGTGGAAGTGTGACTAGAGTTGGTCTTATTATGCTTAATAGTCCTATTACGCAACTCTTGTCATGTTGTGCTGTCAGGGAGTGTAAAGGTGTTGTCACTGTAAAGTGTTACACCTGTGAGAGGCTGTTAACTCAGTAGGGTAAATGTGACTTAAAAGCAAATCTGGTGGTCACCGTCATGGCTATTTAAAATTGTAATTAGCTCCTCTTTCTCTACCTAACTATGTATCACATTACATAAGGAAGTGTAGTGCATGCACCATGACAAAATACATTGTGACAGAAAAACTAACCAAAAGCAAGAGTATAAACTAAGTTCAAATCGCGTAGCTTTTATAAAGTCCAGCACATCTCAAGTGTCTGGCAATGCACGAGTTAAAGTGGCTGTGGCGATTACTTATAAGATTTATTCCGTCTCCCTGGTGCAATGTTTTTCCCATTTCCCTGCGGTGCGATGCGCACAGCTGCAGCCCGGCGTGGCCAGTGTGTGATTGTGTTTGTGTGATAGCTTTGTGCCAAGGGCAGGGGAGGGCGGCGGGGCCCAGACTGAGCGGCGCCTCGGCACACCTGGGGAAGTTCAGGTTAAATAGCTCCACATTCCTCAACACACAGCTGATTGAAACATTAACAAACAGTAATCCACGGGCCAGGCCGCAGATGGGCCGGGAACCACGCCAGCTCAGAGAGTGAGAGAGGCAGAGACGCGCTGGCGGACACATTCCCACAGTGCGCTTTATTTCTTAAGCTTTACTTTTGTTTGACATTTCTTTCTGCAATCCTTACTAGACTGCTACTAGTTAAAAGAGGTTAAAGTGATCGCACAAAATCCTCTAGCCTACAGGAGAGCAGACATCATAAAGGCCAGGCCAAATAGATGTATGCATCATAGTACACGGCTACCATGTTTCTCCAAATACATAAATATTATATATAGAATAAATATAATCTATTAGACCTTTATATAACCCAATCAACTCTTATGAAGCGAGACTCACTTAGCCTGCTTGTACGAAGGTGCAATATCAATCAAAACGTAAAAGACACGACTCTGCCTAATTAAAAAATAGTTTTATATGGCTCTTCCAATACGAAACTCTCCTTGGCAATTGAGCTCTCTAGTATTAGCAGCACCCTCATGTGGCCAGAAAAAGAAAAATCAAACTGTACGCGCCTGAGAACCTGATGAACAAGATGACACAGGATGGCAGCTCCCTCTGGTGTTCAGGAGCAGGCATGTTGCGTTTTTCTTGTATCAAAACCCTTGACAGAAAATGATTTAGTTTAAACCGAATGATATGTTTATTGATTACCAAGACATTGCTTCTATTTGCATCTAAGTGATTTATAGCACCGAATCAAAGGCAGACAAAACACAGTAGTCAAGGTAGTATTTAAATAGAAATTTGTATTTACACCATTATCAACAAGGAAATCTGTAATATACATCTAGTAAAACAGCTTATGTCTCCTCCAAAAAAAAAAAGATTCTGTTAATTATATTCCACTGATATTCACTTGCTGCAAATATTTTCTCAGAATTTTGTTGTGTGTGTGTCTCAAAGAATATTTCAAACCAGCCAGACTAATAAAACTGCACAACCATCCTCAATAAGCATAATGTAATATGTCTATAAAAAGTACACCAGAGCCCAGAAACTATACAAACATGTGGAGAAAGATCTTTGGATTGAGCATGTTGAAAGGTAGAGTCAGTCCTGAAACTGTTCCAAGTCAACAGTAATATAAAAACAATCAATAGTAATAGACAAACCAGATGAATATAGGAAAAATATGTTCAAGGCCTGTTGGTGAACTAACGACATAACGTAACACACAAAAACACACAGATGGAGTTGCCAAGACATTGCAGCCCTTGCCACCACATTGAAAAAAATACATTAACTGTCTGATGGTGTAAAAGATCAAAACTTTAACTTATCAGATACTCATTAAGAGTAAAAGTGCCTTTCTAAACATGTAATACATGACTTTATGCAAAATAATAAAAATACAGCATTCAGAAAATTGTCAAACAATAATAAAAAATCCCAGACACACTTGCAATAACTGCAAAGGCGTAACAAATAAAACCATAAAAGAATGACCTACGAGAGACAAATACATCCAGGTCTCATACATGTGCAATAGAAGGTATTTAAAAAGAATGTATGATATATTCTGTAGAATATTTACAAGTATATTCACTGAAAAAATGAAACATTTAATACTGCAGTACCATTAGTTTGCTTTAAACAAGGCTCTGTTAAATCTAAAGCATAGAGGCAAGAGTTATTGCTCCATTCTGCTTAAAGCCATACACAGTGTGCTTATAGCATCCAATGACATTTAACATAGACTTACCCAAAATCAAAAGGGAAGTAAAAAGAACCTATTGTTGCAAAGGCATTGAATCTCAAGTAAGGCTGTGTTGAAAAAAAAATTGTAACAATCTTTTTTCCTATAGAGCTCGGGATTGTGTCGTCACACATCATCAGAATTTCAACCTACTGTTAAACCAATGGCAATGTTAAGATGCTAAATTAAAAAAATAGAGTTTGTTCAAAAGTATTCTGAAACTATAGGCTGTCCCAGCAGCATATTAGGTTGTTCCAAGGCTCTTCTTTAGCTTCTTTTTTGTTTTACATGTTTGGGCCAGTGTCTATGTACGTTTTGCATTGCTGCTAAAACATGGCAAATGTTTCTAATTCATTTCTAATGTTGTTTTTTTACACTCGATCCCGAGCTCTGATCTGAAGCCTTTAAGTAAAGTGCTGCCATAGACGCATGTACCATAGTCCAAATCTGAAATCTAATTGTGCATCGGATCTCAATTTTAAAATGATTACTGCACATATAGCTGTGAATATCAATACACATTCAACAAGCATTCCCTGGACAACTTGTTGAGCTCCACAATATCTGGCTGTAGGTCTATTTTCCATCATCAAAGGCCCTCAACAGTATTTCTGCAAAGGAAAACAAAAGCATTTGTCAGACATGCTTGTAGTTTTGACAATCAAGTATATACATGTGATTATTTCAGAACAAAACTTGTTAATAAACAAAAAACAGCATTAGGGGATGCACAATGAGTAAAATATCCATGTAATTTTGCTTTGCAATAAAAAGAATGGCAATGTATAATAAAAGAGAAACTGGGTGAGTAACTTTTAAAAGAGGCAATTGTAATATTGACTGCTAAATTACTACAATGATCACATTTAGGAACATGTTTATTAAATATTAGGTTAGCAGGTTTTAGACAAGATAACCAGCATTTTGCTGAGTAAACTTCAATAAAAACTCCAATTGTTAAACTAGTAATTTTACAATGCTACCATTCAAATTACACCCCCACTAAATATAATACGTGACTGCTCTTTATTCTTGTCCATATGTTGTTCATAATCAGTCATAGCCACTAACTGTACAAAGGTTTTTTAGCCTTATATCTTTACTCTGCTAACACAGTGTTTATCTTTTTAGTATAATTTATCTTAATCTTGATTGCATCTTCCCATTTTCCTGCTGTTCTTGACCTTTGTGTTGCAACACAGTATTTTTGCTATTTTGGTAAAATTTTGGTTAATCTCGTCTTATCTTAAAAAGATATTTAGAGAGCATGGTATTTTACATTTGCCAAATGTAACTAATTTTATACTGGTACACATTTTGGAAAGTCAACAAGCTGTGGTGTAGCCTCATCTTTCCCTCATTTTGGTGTAATTACTGTTCTGTAGGAGTCATGAAAGCTTTTCTCACAACATGTTTTGGTGTGCAGATCAGATAATGACTATCGGATTTCTATATTAGTTGACATTTATGTCAATAATTGATTATTTTCATTGTGACTGCCCTCATTCAATGGCAGCACACAAAAAACACCTCATGCCTGACACTAGAGTATACACAGTGGTAGTTACCTGCTCAGGTCCCATTGGCATTCTAGACATTCCCATTGGATTCATGCCCATTTGACCTTGCATTTGGCCTGGCATCTGGCCTGGCATCTGGCCTGGCATCTGGCCCGGCATCTGGCCCGGCATCTGGCCCATTTGGCCCCCAGCAGCACTGCTAACGGGTCCAGGTCCACCCATAGAGGTATTGTTCATCATCATGGGTCCAAACTGGCCCTGATTACTCTGTTGTGGAAACTGCTGCTGTTGGTATGAGCTGCAAATGAAACGGACATTTGTGTTAACATTATGAAAGTACAGTAAAGAGTTCTGGATTAAATATATTTTTTTTAATAGAAGCACCAACATACTTGTTACGTGGCATGCCACCTTGTTGCCAGCTCTTCATGTCTACAGAAGGGTAGATGGGCCCACCCTGGGGGTTTCCTTGCATTCCAGCCATCATGTTGTTTTGTGCAGGGCCAGACATTCGCCCTGGCATTAGGTTTCCTGTTGAGCCAGTTCCTGGAGTCATGAATGATGGGTCTCCTTGTTGATTCATACCTGAATTACATATATGCATATATATATTAATACATTGTATGTTTTTTTTCTGTGAGAAGACAGGGAGTTCTGATTACTCAAACATGCATAAAATCACTCTAAAAATGCAACTTTGAACTGGTTAATGAAGATAACATGGTTAAAAGTATGTTTGCATAGTATGTCTCCTTTAATCTACATGGTGTTTGCCTGACTAACTGCATTGCAAATGTAAAAAAAGATTCATAGAAACTACAGACCATAGTTGCCTCCATAGTTGAAGCCCTGCTGCCCTGGTTGGTTTATGGGTGGGCCTCCCATGGGGTTGTCCATTCCTGCTGGTGCAGTGACATTTGGTGGTGGACTAAAGCCCCCTGCTGGCCCCTGGGTTTGCTGCTGCTGCTGCTGCTGCTGCTGCTGCTGCTGTTGTTGTTGTTGAATTAACATCATCATCCTCTGCCTCTTCATCTGCAGGGTCATCATCTCTCTGCTGCGCTGGGCCATCATTTGAGCATTCAGAAATCCCGACTACAGACACAGACATGATTCATTTACTGACAAACACCAACAAAACAGAAGTGTTGAGAATTAATGGTGTCTACTTACCTGATTACTCATGCCTCCAGGTGCCATACCAGACTGCATACCTGGGCGCATGGCGGTCAGCCCTCCAGGGGCATTGTCCATCTTCATGCCTTGCCTAGCCTGGTTCATAAACTGTTGAACAATATGCAAATCTCAATAACAATGACAATACAGATTTGCAGAAAGAACAAAGAAATAATTTTACTTGAGCTAGTTCATTCCGATACCATATGAACTAAGAACCCAATCATTTGATCATGTGATTTTATGCTGACCTGCTGTCCTTGCAGCCTTTGTTGCAGGTGAAATCTCAAAGGTTTGGTGGCATTAATCATGCGTGGTCTCATCATGTTTAGCCGAGGATTTCCCACATTACCCATCCCGCTCATGCCTGGAAAGCCTCCTGTGTGGTTCATTTGGTTCATTGGGTTGAACCCTCCAGGTGACTGGCCCTGCATTGTATTGGGCCGGTAGCTGGTCTGCATGCTCATGGAGGATGGTCCAGGGGGGCCAGGGTAGCCCTGGTTGTATACTGGTTTTTGGTCCATTCCTATGGAAGAGTCTGGTGGGACGAAAGGCTCTGATGGTGGGCACTGAGTCTGGTTTTGATCTTGGCCTTGCTGGGCCTCCTCACCGCTGTGAGACTGGAATGACAAAATTGGGAAATATTTTTAAGTTTAAAGAGCCTAATTTTTATGTCAAAAAAGAAACATGATGTGTGTACCTGGCCTACTATTTCAGGGATCCCCAATGCTCGATCTATTTCTTGCAGAGCCATGACATCAGCTGTGTTGAGCAGGGAGTCCAGCTGATCCATAAGAGCTCGTTCATCATTTGGACCATCACTTGCAGCCAGTGGTCCGAGCAGCTCATCTAAAGTAAGACCAAATTGGTCTCTAAAAGAATAGAATATAAAAATAATGAGTTTACATCTGAAAACAATCATTTACAGTTTTTAAAATGCACTGAACTGTAGAAAATATTACCTGTTTGTACGGCTCTGTGGTCTATCCATTCCCATTGAAGAATCAGGCCATGATGGAGACTGTGGTGTGTGGCTACCAAACAGATTCATGCCCAAATTGGATTCATTGGGACCTACATAAAATACAGTTTAGTGCAAATTATCCTACTACACCTATTGTATTATCCTTTGTGTTGTAACACCAACTAATTAGTGAACACTGGCATACCCATCTCCATGAGCTGCTGCTGAAGCATAGAAGATCTTTTGGTTCCAGGTACACTGTTTGAACGATTGATCATTGGGCCCCCAATTGGGCCAGAACGACCCATGCCAGTGTGTACCGGGCCACTTGTAGGATTTGCAGTGGATCTCGGCATACTCCAGTCCCCTGGTCCAGTCACCCCAGATCGTAGTGCCATTCCCATCCCTCTCCCCATACCTCCTATGACACAAATGTCAGCTTTACAGGGACTATATACAATGATATTTTTTAGGTCATGATATGTTTGATCAAACTGAAGTTAAATGTTTAAATTACTTGGATTGCTTTGTGGTGGACGCAGACCCATATTTCCTGGAAAGCCATTAGGCACTCCCGCAGGTCGAAGTGGAGAGTCCATGGAGTCTTGATTCAAAAGAGTGGGACATTGGACATTTCTTCTACCAGCTATTCCACCAACAGAAACATCTCCACCTATGGGCTTAGCATCAACAGATAAAGCCCTTTGATAGGCAGTGCGCTGGCCTATAGGCATGGAGACTCGCTCACCATCTGAGAGAAAAATAAAGTGCAATCTCTGTCATTTAGAGTAATACAAAAACAAGTAAAAAATATAGTATGACAATAAAACAAAAAAAACAAACAAAAAACCACACACTGTATAACTGTAAAAATATACAGACAGAGCGCTTCTAAACTAAGTAAACAAAAAAAATCCTAACAAGAGTTACTCCATTTTTATGAAGTCATGTAATCAAATCGAGTCATAGTGGACATATAATCACATTCACGTGTTAATGGCCCTGTTTCAAGAAGCAGGCTCGGTCCAAACTTCCTGCCGCCTGGAGGCCACCTCTGGTTTATTATGGCCATGTTGAATCCTGTTTTCTAAAATCTCTTATGTTCTCTGCTAAACTCAAGGTTTACCATGTCTTTGTTTTCTAACTGCACTAAACCTGCTTGGTGAAAGAGAAAACTCAGAAGTTGATCTCTCCTGAGACAAACAATGCAGAGTTTACTCTTAACCAAAGTTTATTGATCCTACCTGAAATGGGGTCAGTTTGTACCAACAAGAATAACAACTGAAAAATAAACAGACCAATTACAGACTTACCATGTAAATCATCAGCCATGTTTCCTTGTTGGTTTCCAACATCTTTTCCTGTTCTTGAGTCAGGCTCAGAGAAGAAGCCAGAATTAGTTCGAGGAACTCCAAGAATCGTTTCAAGGGTCTCCGACTATATAAAGAAGAAAACAAAAGTTGTCAACCTCAAAGGGGTATTCCAAAGCGGTAGCAAAATTCTCTCTAGATTTTACCTCATCTGAAGGCTCCAATTTCACCTTGCTGTTCAAGGAGCAGGGTTCAGAACTGGCAACACCTGGTCCCTTCGGGACCCTTCCTTGTAGCTCTTCCAGCTTTGGCTTGATGTCCCCACTGTCCCCACTGTTTGAGTCATCCTTATTGAGAAGGTAGTGCAGGAGTGCATGGGGCTTTTCCTTCTTAGGACTGAGCTGTTCTGTTTTAGACTCTGATCCACAAACAGTCCCGGCTGCAGGTGGGCCAATCTCAGATCCTCCGGTTTCTAAGCTGCTCTTCCCAGTAGCCTCTGCTGTGATCCTTGCGACTTCGTCTGGGGTGTTCCCATTCTGTAGAAGCTTGTGCAGTATCTTGTGTTTCTCCTGCAAAGACTGACTTGACAAATGTCCTGCAGTGGAAGACACAGACCCAGTAGAGGAAGACACTCCTGTTGAGGATGAGGGACTGGTAACGCTGGCTGTCCCATCTTTATTATCGGCCGTGGAGCTAGGCCCAGTGCCCAGCGTCTGACCTGAAGGCACCAGTTCATCAGTGGGCGATGTGAGGAGCTGCAGAAGCTTCTTGTGACACTTATTGTTGTCAGGGACTCTTCGGAGAGCATCTGCTCCAGGCTGGGCTTGGCTGTCTGGGTTATCTGGAGGACCATCACCAGTGGGTGTATGCTGCTGTGACTGCTCTGCACTTGGAGCCAGAGAACCATTCGGGCTCTTCATGTCAGAGTGGGGAAATGGACCAGGCTTACAGGGGCCACCAGATGCCTGGTTGGTTGAGTTAATACTTGGTGAACTGTCTGGTTTATGTGGAGGGGGGGATGTGAGGGGGGAGGACATTGGGTTGCCCACACCCTCACTTATGGCTTGGAGAGCATTTAGAGAACTACTGGAGAATGTGGCCCCTGAACTAGCTGGATGCATAGGTGAGTTCATACCTGTAATGATCCACAAAACAAAAACAAAAATGCTAAATCTTAATGAAATTGCACATCAGACTTATACAGAAAAAAATGCTACTTTTCTTACCACTTGGAGAAAAAGGACTAGCTCCCATTTTTGGGCTTCCTCGGACTCTGGGTGACCCCATGACATTGTGAGGAGGACCATTCATCCCTGTACTGGCCTGAGGGGGGCTGGTCATTCCCATTCCATATCCTCCACCACCAGAACCTGCATTGCCACTGTGAAATGGACCCATTTGTTGGTGCATGCCGTGGTGCCCGTGGTTTATAGAGTTCATGGGTGTGTTCATCTGATGCATAGAATTCATTTGGCCCATATTGTTCATCTGATGCATCTGATTCATGAGATTCATTCGGTTGCCTGCAGTGTAAGGGGGCAGTCCCCTGTGCTCTGTCATTCCATACCCCCTGTTCATGCCTGCACCAATTTGTTGATTCTGATTATTCACACCAATGTTTGGAGGCCTCATGGCCCCACCTGGATTTCCCCGATAACCACTTGGCTCTCTAATATTAGGGAAAAACAAATGCAGTTAAAGATTGATGGTTTACAAGAGAAGGGGATGAGAAAACAGCTTTAGCATTTGAAGCTGTGGCACCTTTGCAGTAAGTGTGTTGAGAGAAACGTGGGTGGCTCATTGGAGTTTGGATTCCGGCAGAGGTCACTCCTGGTTTTGGCTGTGACTGGGGTGCCATCAGAGAGGGAAAAGCGGTATAGGGGTGTCTCTGCGTGGCCATTAAGCAAAGCTAAAAACAAAAAAAGAAGCATTGATTAAGCAAAAAAGGTCATGGCAGTCACTTCAAATTATGGTAATTAAAAATATATGTATATCAGCTACATACCATCTTGATAATGCCGTTTGTAAGAGAAAGGTTGGCCCTCACTGCGATGCAGAAACATCTGCATGCAGCGCCTCACCAAGTCCTCCCACCCTGGCCGCATTGTTGTGTGAAGGGATGCTTGCTGTTCTATCTCAATTAATTTGCCTAGAAAAAAAAACAAGCAAAGACATACACAAATTTGTTTTTGAAAGGATTTATTGTTTTTAAAACATTTTTGTTTTTCACACCACCACTTACCAGATAGTTCATGACGAGTACTAAATCTCTCCGTCCTCTCAACAGCAGTAATGCGCCTCGCCACACAAATCATACATGAATGAAAATCTGCAGTGAAGACATTAATTAAGTCTTTCAGAGATACACACATTCTCACATATTTTACAGATAAATACCTTCACCTTCCTCCATCATAGCTCGTGGTTGAGTGAGAGCAAAACACTGCATAGTTTCATAATGCTGGCCCCCAGGTCTCTCTTCTTGAGGCCAGTTCAGGAGCATACGGCAGTTAAAAGTGTGACTTCTCTGCCGAAGTGTCTCTCCACCCCATGGTGCCCCATTTGGTGCTACCAGAAGGAATACACATATTAAGGTCCTACTGTACATTTTGCATAAAAATGTCAACATGTGACAATAAATTAAAAACAAATTAGTCTCACCATTGGCTTTAGGGAGGTTCTTGTGAAACTCTTCCCGGTCATCTTCATGGATTATATTGTAAACACTAGTATTAATTAGCTCCTCTTGCTTGTACTGTAGATACTGTGTTACATTATCTGACACAAATACAATGCTGCCCTCACGATTTACCACAAACAGAAAGCCATCCAATGCCTAATGCAAAAACAAACAAGAATAGTTATCTTGTCAGGTTTATTCACAACAGACACACTCTGTGTCCCATCTCTGACCTGTAAAAGTAATGGGCCCAGATGGTCCTTGTCAATGACCCCTTGACCAGTAGAAGAAACATCTGCTTTCTGGACATCATCATCACTACAGGAGCTTTTTCCTGAAAATGAAAATTGAAAGTCATGAAAATGTGTTTGTGGGACTGAGGGCGTGCTGTAAAAGATTTCTACTGAAATTGCAATTTCAAACTATTTAATGTGAACCACTAGATGGCAGCAAAACCAATGGGTGCATGTTTCACATGCCTTTCTATTTTTACTACAAGCATGTGTGGAAGGTTTTGTTGGGCAGCACTTGTATACTCCCAAGTTTAGATAGTGTAGTGTGGGTATGCGAGCTCCAAAATCCCCCAGCAAAAATCTGGAATATAGTAAAGAAATGCATCAACAGTGTACTTAGAATGATTGTGATTCTTTACCCACTTAATCTTACACAAATAATCACAATCAAGCCTAAATGACTGAAGGACTATATCAGGCTTATTTTGCACTGTATCCAATTATGACTACCACACTCAACATTTTCTGTGGGGATAGTCAGATTTCACAGTCACTAGTGCTAGTACTCCATTGAACCACAGACACACAGTCCCAGTGACAGCCCAGAGCAATGACCACCTTGGACTGGTCTCAATTACTTGTGCTCATTTACCACAAGTAACACAAACAGTCAAACTGCAGTGTCAGTGTGGAGCCACCTGGCCTTCAACCTATTGCCCCAGTTCATTACTGGACGTCATCAACTATCCAGCCCAGTGTGTTACCTTACAATAACTCACAAAATAAATATCCCAGAATGTAGTTTTTAAAAAGGGGTCTTATACCTTGCTCTTTGATTTGTCTGATCTGCCTGACAGTTTCCTTAAGGATGGCACATTTGTCAGGTTTGACGTTGAAGCTGTCGATGTTCGAGAGGTTTGCAGAAATGAGCTCAGCCAGTTCTTCTATGTACTTGCTCTCCTGTTCCCTTCGACGCTTGTCACACCTGCTGAGCCACCAATGAGATCAGACATGTTACCATGACAACCTTACCTCCACATACCCCGGCCGTATGGCTTGCATATGGACAAGGCTTAAATGCCTCACTCAACAGTTGGTAGCAGAAGTAGTTAAAGGGATGCTTGTGTGTTTCATAATAATTCTATAGGAATAAAGCAACAAGTAGATAGAAGTAGATAGCAAAGTAGTATACATACCCTAGTCCCTGTGGGTCACAGGTGGAATGTCTTCGTTTGCGGTCAGAGCACAGTGGCTCCAAAGAGTTGTCAGAAACTCCACTCATCTCAAGCACATATCAAGACCTAAAAACAAGACAATCTAATTAATGGGGATATCAATGAACATGTTTGAATGAAATCATAGCTGTGCCAAAGTGGTCCAATTCAATGTTGTTCCAAACCTGCAACCTTAGAGAAATTAACCTGTGCTTTAATCCAAAAGCAATAAAAGGAAAAAGCATTTGACAAACTGTCAAATGGGGCAGTGTTCAGTTTATAAAAACTTAGCAAGAGTGAAATCTCATCTGTTCCACTGTGAGGAGCGACTGAAGATGATGTAGTGATTTTGAGCCTCGAGGGAGATGGGTCATTCTGCGTTCAGCCAGCTTAACCATAAAGAAATATTCCACCAGAAGGAGCTATACACCTAGCTACCGTACAGCTAGCTACTGTAATGTATGCAAAAGCATGTTTCTCTGCCAACCAGAAATATAGATGTCAAAAAGGAGCACATCATTTATAAACATGCAAAATCCATGAGAAGAGAAATGTACTGAAAATATCACATCGGTGAGGACTATAAAATAGGCTCTGTAGGCCGTGGGTTATAACATTTTTTTCTTTCCCTGATTATTACTGCAGTTTCCCCCAGAGCATCCATGCACAACACTTCCGTCAACTCCCTCCCTGGCTGGGCGTTGCTGAACTAGGGATCCTGCCCTTGTTTTCCTGCTGTGGCACTGCCCTGTATTTGACCTCTCCAAGGTTCATGTTGGGGAGAGCTATACAATCTGCAGTTAAGATAATAGCAAATTTTTCCATTTCTGCACACATTTTTACCTCTCTGAAAAAAATAATCCATCGCCAATCCTTTTTGTCAACATATGGGTAAGTGTAAAAGCAAAAACCCCAATGCACAGCACTTTCAAAACAGTGATCTCATTTTGAAGTGGAAAAGTGTGTAGAACGGGTGGGAGCCATTATGCAACTCCAGCTCTGCAGACGCAGGCTAGGACATGCAGATCAGTCACTACTACTTGTGTTATTGCTAAAGAGCACCGAGGTGCAGACACGCTCTCAGCACCATAAATCTACACAGCATGCTTCTTGTCCATCTACCTTTCATCACCCCCACTCTAAATCTGAAAGTCTTGCTAAGGTTATGATACTCTGCCTCTCACTGGCCCTTCCTCTTCCCTTCCTTCCTGGTTTCTGTCCGAGACTTACCTCTGCAGCATTGTGGCTGCATGACATCAGCTTTGTGCATTGAAACAGTTTAACAGTAAATCTCCTTTCTGTCCCTCTCAGAAACTCAGAAATGATTTTAAAATCTCTACCAGACAACAGCATGTTGTAACTGTGCAAGATTGAGAATACATGCAAACAATTCCAAAATCGCATGTTTTCTATCATGAATTTAAGTGAGCAGAATGCACAGTAAACAGAAATTACAAGAACCACCCACTTAAACCACAGATGTGTCTCAACAAGCCTGGCAGGATGCCACTGGCCTGAATAAGCTTAATAAAATATGTTCAATGACAAGGTAAGAGTCACACAAACTAACAGTGGAACTAAAGCCACACAGTCATTTAAAAACTGAACAACAATGTGCCCATTAGATATGTATGTGTTTTCATTAGTCACCTTGGCCAGAACAACCCCTCGTCCAGCTCCATTCATTCCCAATGTCTGGACATCTCCTGAAACATAAAAAAAAAAGTGAAGTTAAAATAATGCAGGCAAATATCATTGGGCATCATTTTCTGAATTATTCATGGGAAAGGTAATTTCTAAAAGTGCACAGGAAGCCACAGAAGACGGCATCCTGTTTGTATCCTCCCTCAGTCTTTTCCACTGCGTCATCACTTCCCTTTCCAGGAAATGTGACCACTGAATCCACCCTATTTTACATATTATGTTTATCAGCCATGCTCTTTTCATCCTGGATCATTCATACCTGGCCATGATGGAATCCTTAAAACTTCAGTCAGTACAATTCTCTCAAATTCTAGCTATGTTTGATTGGTTTTAGACTGGTTGGTTCTATGGGCTGCATGACAACAGTTGAGATGATTTCACTTTGATGGAGTTCACCTTCCTTTGACAACAGTTGGGACCATGCTGTTAGCAGACCTTTTTTTTTTTTTACCACAGACCAATGATCACATGATGTGTACTAAACACATGGCCGCAACTGAGCCAATTCTGCAGCTAAATTATTCAACACCGATGAAGAGGGAAAAGCGGTTCCTTTTCGGTCAACTGTCGCAAACAGCTTTAAGCAAATTTTCAATGTTCAAAACATTCACAATATGGCTTTGCAATATCAGTACATTATTAATGCTCATCATTGGCCAGCTGATGACATGTTTTCTTTGTTTACAAGAATTTTTTTCAAAGACGACGATTAAATACTGTTAATAATGTTTATAATTTGACCGATTGAGTGCATTTGAACATTATGAAATATTAGTAGGCCTGTCACGATAATAACAATATCGACTTATCATTCAATATATGAAACCTGGAACAATATATTTTTGAGCTCAATAATCATCATGTGTACATTTTCTTTGTAATAGTGGAGACATTTTTGTTATTTTAGTTGTAATATAATAAAATTTGAGCTGTAGATGATTGAATAAGTAATTTTTATGGCTTCATTGTGCTCTTTATTTGTTGTAGTTCAGGCCTTTAAATGATTCTGTCTGTTAAAAAAATTGTTTACTAGGATTATTCTGCTTTATTGTCATGTATCAGTGACATTCGTTTGTGATTTTTCCCTTTAGCAATATATTGTACTTCAAAATTTGTTATCGTGGCAGGCTTCGTTAGTTACAGTAACATTAGTTAGAATTCATCCTAATTTTACAGCAAACACTGTTTGCAAATGAGCCAAAATGTTTTGGTGAGTTTTCTTTGGGTCGCCCATCGGTTACTTAGCAGGACAAAAATCAAAAAAGGCAGTGGAGAAAAATAATGTAATGCTATTAGGCCTCACACCAAGTCATACAGCATATTCCATGATGAAAATAGTCTGGTTATAAGCCAATACAGCAGCAGTGTCAGTCAGTCAGGACCAAAATAGTGAGGGGTGCATTCCAACTCAGCCTGAAATGAAAAGCCTGCAATTTGAGCTCCCTGAGACAATGGCTAGCAGACTTAACAATAAACAGTAACCCACCCAAAACAAAGCTCACAGTAGCTACAGCACACTCACACTAAAAACCCATCATATCCAAGGATGAAAAATAGACTTGTATTAATGGCACACATGTTAGTGTTATTATTATTATTATTTAGAAATATACAGAAAAAAGAAAGCAGCCTTTCTTTGAAATCCTAGCAAATGGGACTTCTCACAGGATGCCAAGTAATAAAGCAACAAAAGGTGTCCACTAGACTTTTAAGAAATCAAGTGCAAAAAGGAAACAAAAGGACTGAATGACTTCCTGTTTTGCTTCAAAGAGCGTCTCCACCTCCCGCCAGGCTTACAACCAGCTGCACAGTGACTTTGGTGCAATAAGAGTAGGGCTGCTGGGTGATATGACAAAAATGTAAAAGGCACTGTACCTGATTGTGTTTTAAGATCTGATTTAAAAATCAGGTACAGATTTGTTTGCAGTGGTCCAAAGTTATTTTGCACTTATTTTCCATTCCAAGCGCTCTAATTATTCAAGCTGATGAATTTATAAGTATGTTTCAGAACCTTAAGAGAGCAAATAGTTGTTTTGACGTGACGGTAAAGTTAAAAACAACTAGCATACTAACAGTGCACTTCTTGATTATCAGACAATAAAGAGCTTTCTAATTAGATGCATACTCTAATTGGATAAGTGACGACAACACTCCTCAACCTGGTACACAGGCCTGGCTCAGGATTTTTGGCAGAGCATTTCGAACCCAAGGAATTCACAGTGTCACAAAAAGTTCAAAAACATGGAGTAAGAAAGCTTTCAGAAATATGTGTGTGCATAGGAAAAAAATCCATATATATTTGGTTGTAGTTGAGCATAAAAGAAATATTTGTAAACTCTTGAATAAGTCCAGTGGTACATAAAATGTATTATATGTATTTTTTCCATCAGAATATTAATTGAAAACTTACATCATCAAGAATTAACACAAAATGAAAATTTATGATTATGCTTTCTTCAGTATGAATATGAATTCATAGACGTGACTTTACTGTCAAAAATACGTCATCACTTCACAGGCACGATTTATTGAACAGAAGAAACATCGATCAATGTGCCAGACTTTTGCGTCACATACGGACTGAACCAGGACGGAACCAGGACGGAACCAGGACGGAACCAGGACGGAACCAGACGGAACCAGAACAGGTCCCAGAACAGGTCCCAGAACAGGTCCCAGAACAGGTCCCAGAACAGGTCCCAGGACTGATCCCAGGACTGATCCCAGGACTGATCCCAGGACTGATCCCAGGACTGATCCCAGGACTGATCCCAGGACTGATCCCAGGACTGATCCCAGGACTGACAGATCAGGACCAGGACGACTAAACCAGGACTGACAGATTCTCCCTTTCTCTCTCTCTCAAGTCCGGGTTCAGTCCGGGTTCAGTCCGGGTTCAGTCCGGGTTCAGTCCGGGTTCAGTTCTGGTTCAGTTCTGGTTTAGTTCTGGTTCTGTCCTGGTTTAGTTCTGGTTCTGTCCTGGTTCAGTCCTGGTTCAGTCCGTATGTGACGCAAAAGTCTGGCACGTTGATCGATGTTTCTTCTGTTCTGTTTCATGTACTACTGGACTCATTTGAGAGTTTACCAATTTATTATTTTTAATATTTTAATTATTTTTTATGCTCAACTACAACCACATATGCACGGATTTCTATCCTATGCACACAAATATTTCTGAAAGCTTTCGTCCTCCATACAAGAACACCTTGTAGGAATCAGTGTGCATTTTTTCAACTTAATCCAAGAATGATGATTGTTACAATTCAGAATTTAGAATGTAATAAATAGTTAAATCTACAGTAAAAGCAAAATTTCAAAATCAAAATAATACATTTTCCTAGAGAATCAGAATTTAATGAAATGTGTCACGATAAGATAGAGCGATGAAAAGGGACATATGTCAAGCATTTGTTGAGAGTGGGGATTTTGAGACACTGAAGCTGTAAATCGTAAACACTACACAAGCAGCTGTGAAATTCCAGCAAAGTTCAAAAAACAGACCTGGTATAACACTTTTTCCAAGTTTTACATTTTAAGTGACATTTTGGGGCATCCCAGGGAACGCTTGGCAGGGAACGTATGCAGATTTTCTCTCACTCTTACTGCTACACGGTGAAACTAGTGGAAATGAATGAAGGTGGAAAACAAAGAGATGTCAGATTCCACAGCATGTGTGTGCCTTCCACCACAATTCATCATCAACACAAACAAAAGAGCAGTGCAGGACAGGAGAGCACAGCATCGCAGGTTCAGTCTTACCCCAGCATCATGCTTAATGATGTACAGCACATCCTGCCTCAGTCACCTTCCCTTCAGAGTCTTGATGCATTTACAAGTGCATGAGGCAGCTGGGATGCATTAGATGAGGAGAGCGCAGTGACCAACCAAGACTCCAGCAGCTTGATCACACAAAGCTAATATTATGGAAATTAGTTCATTAATCAATGGGCCAGCACCCTTTTATCTGGTGAGTGGAGGCGCCACATCCCTGCCCGCTCTCCATGCTGCCTCCACTGTGGTAACACACAGCATTCATTTGAACCTTTATGCTGTAGGTTGCAAATCTGGAGTGAGGAGGCCATTTAATATGATGAACCTCAACAATTACAATGTCCAAATTCAGTAAAAACTGTTGAGTCCATAACAATATACATTTTTAAAAGTACATAACAAAATTTTATTCTTAAATGCAACAAAACAAAGGTGACAATGCAACCCCCACCACATTCACAAAATGATCCCCATAAAACAAACCTTTTGTATTTGTTACATACTTTACATTACAGAATATTCTATAAAAAATGTCTGCATCTGCTTTTTCACCAAGTGGCACTAAGTTCATTTTGTGATCAGAAATTTTCCCTTTTCCTGTTGTGGTCCCCTCCTTCTCCAGCTCCCTCCCCCTCCCACGGCTTTCTCCGCTGGATTGGTGGAGTAAACACAGGAAGAGAGCGGGCTCTGTTCCACCACGGCAGAGCAGGGGCTGGGCGTTCCTGCCGAGCTCCACTGCTGGGGTCAAAAGTTTACCGTGGTTTTCATTTCACCTTTCCTCAGCCAATCACAGCGCTCCCACCGCAGTGCCTGAACTCTGACCCCTGAGAAGAATTCCTCTCAAACGATGGTCTGACGCCAGTTTCATGCACGCCACCCCTCCTGTCTCCCCCTTTTTCTCTCCCCCTGTACTACTCCTTTCTCTTCTTTCAACTGGCCGAGTTTCACGTGTTGACAGAGCCTATAGGTGAAAAAGATTCCACAAGTGAACTGCAAAAAGAAACTGAAGGAAGTCCGACTAAGGGACTTTGGAGCTTGTATAGCCAACAGGTAGAATTCTAGTGAAAGCTTCATCCAACTACACTTGTAACTGTCAATAATGTCCTCATTTCTACAAAAAAAACAAAACCCAAAGCATTAAAAAAAAATTCCCTTTTCCTCCAAGTTACTTTACGTCAGACAGACCATTTCTATGTGACAAAAATAAGTAAAAAATTAAGGTTGCAATGAG